TTTGGACCAAAGATATATTTTTTTGTTTTTTATCAATAAATCTTGTTAAACTAATGATAAATCTAATAAAACAGATAAATCAACTAAAAAAATCAAAAATAAATAAAAAATAAAAATAAAGGTCAATTAGGCCTGCTAGTTGGATCCTAAATCGGGTTCAATAGGCTTAGACCCAAACCCCATTGGACCAGGCCCAATGGACTTGGGTCCGAACTAAATAAGGTGTCTACACCAATATTATTAAAATTGTATTAAGTTCAAAATGAATAAGTTCACTTTAAAAACAATAATTGGACTTTCATTTAAGCTCAAATAAATAATCTTTAAAGATAGATTTGGTTTGAGAAATATGAAAATAAAGAAAAGTTTGTTTAAGCTTTGAAAATCATATTATTTATTTAGTACCAAAATATAAAACTTAAGAACACATACTAAATAAATCTTTTTCAAAATCTTGATCAAGTTTATTTAGCTTTAATATTTTGTCATTTCAAAATAAAGGTCAATTCAAGGCTAACAACATATATATAAATATAAAATTAAATAACTAATGAAATATATATTATATATATTATATATATTATACATATATATATATATCATAAGATGGCTTAGAGCATAGCATTAGAAATCCATATGACCCATCCCTAACTTTTATAAAAAAATGATTCAATTGATTCGATATTAAGATTGTGCCAAAATATTCATATCGAATTGAGATTGGATAAAAACTTATTAAATATTATTATTTTGTTATTTTTATTAATTGAGAAAAAAAGAGAAAAAAATCAAATACATTGTGTACTTTCGATATCAAGTAGGTCTAATATAAAAATTTAATAAAATTAATAAATTTTTGAAAAAAATAAGTAAAAAAATTTAAAATTTTTTATATAAAGTAGATCATACCTTAAAATTTTAAATCTTAAAAAAAATGTGATACATTACATTCCTTAAAATGATAGTAATTAATATCAGATTCGTTTTAGTGTAATTTATTGAATAAAAAAAATTTATATAGTAATATAATTATAAATTATAAAAAAAAAAAAACTTCAAATGAAATATTCTATTGAAAAAAATAATTATTTTGAACCGAATTTGACCTGCCGAGAAGTCAGGGACTCAGCCCAACATTTTGACCGAAAAACGGAATTGAATTTTTCCAAATTCCCCTCAAAGCCTAGTGATATTGTCACAGGTCGAGACTCAAGCTCCAAATTCGCGTGGCTCCGGGATCCGGGCATTCACCCATCCGATGTCCCAGATCAACCTTCCTGTCACAGTTCATACCCTTATGAGGTATTGTCCGCTCTGACCCCGTGGCCTCACGGTTTTATCCTACAAAAGGCACCTCACAAGGCAGAGGTGGCGTGAACGCTTTTATACCCCAGTGACCCTCCTATTATGTTCGATGTGGGATTCAGGACTCTTTCTTAGGTCTATGACATTTTCCCCCATCCAACCTCGTGACGCCCTCGTCACGGAGGCTGGTTACCCTGCCTACCTCTCTCGAGGCGCTCAGTGTGGATCAAACGGTTTAGGGCTGACTCTGATACCTCTTATCACGGGTCGAGGAGATTTGGTTGAGGGGATTTTTGAGCTGTAATGGTTGAATTTGAGAGCTAGCGTTTTTGGGTTTTTGTTCTAAAGTTGAGATGTTGGGGTCTTCTTTATTGTTTGGATCTAAGGATACTTAGATTGGGAAGCTTAAAAGTTGAAAAAAAAGTTTCAGCTTTATTTTTTCTTTGGTTTGTCAAATGGAAGGAAGCAAAAAGGTCGACTCTTTGGCTTTAGTTTGGTTGATCTTGGTGCTACTGCATCCCTTATGGCCTGTTTCTGCTAATGTGGAAGGTAAAAATATTTGCTTTTTTTTTTATTCTATTCTTTTTCTTGCAGCGGCCCTCTTTTGTTTTGTGTGTTCAATCGTTTTTGGAGTTTGATCCTTACGTTTTTTTTGTAACATTGATTGGTTTTTGCAAAATGGGTTTTTGATATTTTGTCATATCATTTAGTTTTAAGTTTGAAAAGGGGTGTGTTTTAATTAGTTTGTATTCTTGTTTTCGTGATGATTGAAAGTTTTTCCCCTTTTCGTTTGTGTTTTGCTTTGGGGAGATTACTTTAGAAGTGCTTAATTTGATTCTATGGTTTCTGATCCTTGTAGTAAATCATACATTAACCCTACATCATATGGTTGTACACTTTGTGACTCTTGTTATAATGTGTATATGGATGCTATGAGAACATGTCTCAGGAAAATGCTTTGCAAATGTTCACTTATGATATTTAATTGTTCACGGCAGTTGCATACTTTTTCGTACATTAAATGTTGACTTGATGATACTGTAGTAATCATTACTTCTTTGCACATTTTAAATTTTTTTTACACGCCTTTCTGGTTTAATAGCAGATGTATTATATTCAAGAAGTCATTAAACTTACACAGTTTAATACGAAAAATCTTGTATCATTTTTTTCTATCTTTGGTTCACTATTGACCCAATGGATGATTTTGGGAAATTTTTATTTACATTTGACTTCTCATACTTTAAATTTTAGAAGATTTTGTTGATGGAACTGTTTAATTATGATAAAATTGATGTCTTGTGCTGTTTCAAACTGTTTAAGCATCTTCAAATAAATATGCTTTCTGCTTGTTAATTAACTCGCTAATTGCCTAATTCTTCTGGTGCGTGGAGATGAATATGCTTTCTTAATGTGGCTTAGTAGCTGGTTTAGCTGTGCTATATATTTTAACGTATGCATTGTTAGTTAGTTTCACCCACTTACCATCTTTACTTGCTTCTTGAAACAGGTGATGCGTTGCACACCCTAAGGACCAATCTAAATGATCCTAACAATGTACTGCAGAGTTGGGATCCTACCCTTGTCAACCCCTGCACATGGTTTCATGTTACATGTAACAATGATAATAGTGTTATTAGAGTGTAATGTTTTCTGCTCTTTGATGGCTTCTAAGTACTTGGTTACTACATAAAAGACGTGTTTTACTGATTTTGCAAAGGATTACTTGTGTAGTGCCTAATTCTGCATCAAATTTTCAGTGATCTTGGAAATGCAGCTTTGTCGGGTCAGCTTGTACCACAGCTTGGCTTGCTTAAGAATTTGCAGTACTTGTAAGTGCTGCTCTACTTTGATAATACTAGCTGTTTTCTATTTGTATGTTTGGTTTGGCTTGGTTGTGCTTACTTCTGAGAAAAATATACTACTGCTAACTTTGTCGATGTTTATAAAAGGAAGAAATGGTTCTGAACAAGGATTGTTGCATTAAATAAGCTTCATTAATCACTTGGCCAATAGGAAGTGGTTTAGGGTCATAGCTGCTTCATTTAGTTTATCAAACTTCTTTTACATATTCAATTCATAGTTCTGAGGAAAAGGCTAATGTGTAATTCCTCTATGCATGGCACAGTGACTGTCTTCCTTTGCCAGTAGAATGAAGAGTATAAATTTTAAAATTCTTGATTCTGTTGCCAGACTGCAGCTGAAACCAATCTGTCAATGAGTAACTGTAATAGGAACTTATTTCTTTAATATGGGGTTGGTCATGTTGGCCACCTCCAGGTTGAGGCGCCATTTATAATAAACTAAAAAAACTGTCTTTCCCTGTAGAATCTAATTCTGATGATCTTCATGTTTATGGTATGTTAAAGTTTTACAAGATGCTTTCCTAAACAAGGGTTTGCCTCTATATGGAGCACCAGCTGGGAATAATTGCTATTGACTAGGATCTGAAAGTTCTCAGCCAATGTTTACTAACTTGGTCTAAGTTCCCTTGTCAAAATGAGGTGTCCATCTTAAACGATCCTATAAGTGAAGGTTCATGAATGAATTAATAAGCATTGTGGAGCTAGTTTACATTCATTCTTTCTTATCTAGTTATTGAGCTGTTCTTCTGATGGGCTTTCTGGGAGAAGGGATAGTTCCATGTGTATCATCTTATTTCCCCCTTTGACTTGGTCGTTTGTTTCCCTTAACATGACAAGAGGACATTTTTTTTTCTATGATATAATGGGTTTTGGAAAGTCTCTTCCAGTTCTTTTAGACTTTGCAAATGATATATTCATCAAATCCTAGTATGAAGTTTTTAGTGCACAGTTTTATTTGTCTTAGTATTTCATTACATTACTTCTGCCTTTTGAGATGTATCTTTTTATGCCAGGGAACTTTATAGTAATAACGTAAGTGGACCAATTCCTAGTGATCTTGGGAATTTGACTAGCTTGGTGAGCTTGGATCTTTATTTGAATAGTTTCAGTGGTCCTATTCCAGAATCTTTAGGCAGGCTGACAAAATTGCGATTCCTGTAAGTATATTTGCTTTGCAGCTAATTTTTTTCCTTTTTTATTTTTTGGTACAACAGCTGATTGGTTTATTACATGTTGAGCTGCATGTAATACTGAGAGCTTAATCTTTTCTTTTTAAATCATGTAAATGGTAAAACTAAAGTATACTTGATTTAAAGTAAAAAAGAAGCAGAAACAAGTTATTTACTAGTATTTGTTATTTTAAGACATAATCACATGTACGATATTACACTCCCCTAAAAAACCCATCTTTAGTATTTAGAAAGTATATTTTCATAACGTATATAGCATATACAAGATCATTGCATTGCATTCGTTCATCAACTACAACATTCTGGTCAACTTTTTAGTGCAACTTGTTTATTTAAATTTTCAGTTTACGAAAATATCCAGGAGTAATTGAAACTTTGCTGACATTTAAGAGCTAATATAACATTTTCTAGGGGTAATTCCATTTAGTAAACATGAGTCTGCAACTTCAGCATTGGTATATTTCCAAATGTCATACATTCATCCACATGTATGAAGAGAATACTGATTGAGCAACTGATGCTTAAAACAAAGAGCTTTTCATGTCTAATTTTGATTGTATACAGCTGTTGTAGGTCAAAGTTTGCTTAATATAAAACCTCTATATTTTGTTTAGATCTTAAATTCTTTTGTTATTGAAACGTTTGTGTGAGGATAGCCGGCTTAACAACAACACCTTGACGGGTCCTATTCCTATGTCATTAACTAGTATCACATCACTTCAAGTCCTGTGAGTGCCAACTTTACCTCTTATGTCAAGATCCATCATTCTGCCCCCCTTTTCTCTTCTGAGATATAATCATTATTGTAAAACTTATGAATCCTCAAATATTTCTGTAAAATGTAGGGATCTATCAACTAATCATCTCTCTGGTGAGGTTCCAGATAATGGCTCCTTCTCTCTATTCACTCCCATCAGGTTATTTTTAAGTGATCTGAATTCTGTTTTTCTTGGCTGAAAATTTTGGTTGCCTTGCTTAGGTGTTTGTTGTTCCATATGCAGTTTTGCTAACAACTTGGATCTGTGTGGCCCAGTTACTGGACGCCCTTGCCCAGGATCTCCTCCTTTTTCTCCTCCTCCTCCTTTCGTTCCACCACCACCAATTTCTTCACCAAGTAATCTTCCTTTCATGTTGTATATTTCGAATATATTGAGCTGCCTTTAAAGGTTTCTATGTGCAGTATAGTTTTTTTTTTGTTTGCTATTCTTGCTGTCAAGTAGACTGTTTTAGTTCTATTTGAAAATGTATAATCTGCCAATCTTTGCATTTTAGCATTTTATGCCCCTACATTCTGTAATTTAGTGGCATGCATGTACAATGAGCTGAAATTGATGTCCCTGAGCTTTTCTTCTGGGTGAATCTCATATAAGCTTGCACATCCGGTGCTTTAGTTCCATAAGTTTAAATCAGCTTTATCATTATAAATTTGATTGTGATGAGATGTAATTAACAATAGTGCCTTTTAATGAAGAGTTGTGTTTGTAAATTGCTTCTGATTTGATGCATTATCGTGGTTGTTGTGCAAAAATGGTTTGCACAAGGGAAATAGCTGTTACGTTTTCCATTGGTTATTCTAATTTCTCCATCATATCATGTTTTAGGTGGGAATAGTGTCACTGGTGCAATTGCCGGAGGAGTTGCAGCAGGTGCTGCTTTATTGTTTGCTGCACCTGCAATTACATTTGCATGGTGGCGTTGGCGAAAACCTCAAGAATTTTTCTTTGATGTACCTGGTTAGTGCAATAAATGAAATTTTATTGGATTAATGGGTTCAATTATGGTATTCATTGTTTACATCTCTTTGCAGCGGAAGAGGACCCAGAAATCCATCTTGGGCAGCTTAAGAGGTTTTCACTGCGAGAAGTACAAGTTGCCACTGATAGTTTTAGCAACAAAAACATTTTGGGTAGAGGTGGATTTGGTAAGGTTTATAAAGGTCGGTTAGCTGACGGTTCACTGGTGGCTGTGAAAAGATTGAAGGAAGAGCATTCACCTGGTGGGGAGTTACAATTTCAAACAGAGTTTGAGATGATCAGCATGGCTGTGCATCGGAATCTCCTTAGGTTGCATGGGTTTTGTATGACACCAACTGAACGGTTGCTTGTTTATCCCTACATGGCTAATGGAAGTGTTGCATCATGTCTACGAGGTGAAGCCAATGAGTGTTTGTACTTTAATTCCTCATTTTTTCTTTGAAGGGGGGGGGGGGGGGGGTTTGGGGAATTTTATGGGTATAATCAGTGAACATCTAGTCTTGCTTTCCATCTTGAGTATATTTTCATGTTTTCTTGATGTATTCTTATAGAGCGCCCTCCATCACAACCTCCACTTGATTGGCCAACACGGAAGAGAATTGCATTGGGATCTGCTAGAGGTCTTTCCTATTTGCATGATCATTGTGACCCAAAGATCATTCATCGTGATGTAAAAGCTGCAAATATTTTGTTGGATGAGGAGTTTGAAGCTGTTGTTGGTGACTTTGGTTTGGCTAAACTTATGGACTACAAGGATACTCATGTAACTACTGCTGTACGTGGCACAATTGGACATATTGCTCCAGAGTATCTCTCTACTGGCAAATCTTCAGAGAAAACCGATGTTTTTGGTTATGGTATCATGTTTCTGGAGCTTATCACTGGACAGCGGGCATTTGATCTTGCTCGGCTTGCAAATGATGATGATGTCATGTTACTTGATTGGGTACGCATATAATGTTTTCTTTTTCGCCATCTTAGTCTTCATTTAATTGATTTGCTTATTATACTCTCTATTCTCTCTCTTTAAATGCTAATTCATCAACTGTTCAATTTTTTCCTTGATACTGCCCGATTCTCAATATTATTATCTCTTACTTTGGGAATATGTAAAAACTAGTTGGATTGATAGTAGTTTCGATGCCTTGTAGTAATGATAAAACAAACTATTTTAGCTTAATTGAAATAAGTTACTGTAGCAAAAGGTATAGTTTCATAAAAGTCAAGCCACTTGATTGACGTTTATACTTGGAAGGCGCTTAAGTCTAGAACGTCAGCTAGAATACCCTTATTTATGCTTGAGCTACGGATTGCTTATGTTTTGTAATCTCTTGTTAAGGCAATTGACCCTTTTTTGATATCAGAGCCCTACTTGCTAAAACAGAATAAAAAAATTGTGACTGTAAAAAAACTAAGAAATAAATTAGTGTGCAAAACTAAACATTTATTGAAAAACTGCTCATTAAGAATTATACAAGAACCTTAGGTTTATATACAACTAATTAGGGGTTAAACTAAGAAACTAAATCTTCCTAAAAAAACTAATCCTATAATTGAGAGATTATCTATCTTAATTTTTTTGTCCTTAATTCTAGGGATACAAATATAAATATACAAATTACAATATTACAACTAGCTGTAAATAAGTGTTTTCTCACACTCCCCCTCAAGTTGGTGAATAGGTGTTTTCTATTCCCAGCTTGAAAATAATTTCTTAAAATGTTGCACTGATGAGACCTTTAGTCAACACATCTACAAATTGACCTTTGGTTGATACATAAGGTGTACAAATCAACCTACTATCTAGTTTCTCCTTTATAAAATGTCGATCTACTTCAATGTGTTTTATTCTGTCATGTTGCAAGGGATTGTGTGCAATGCTTATTGCAGACTTGTTATCACAGTAGAGTCTCATTGGTCCATCCCACTTGATCTTTAAGTCTTCTAGGATAATCTTTAACCATAGTAGTTCACAAATTCCGCTCTGAACTCTACTTCAGCATTTGATCTTGCCATCACATTCTGTTTTTTACTCTTTCAAGTTACAAGATTACCACTTAAGAAAGTGTAGTAGCCTGAGGTGGATCTTCTATCAGTTATTGAACCTGCATAATCAACATCTGTATATGCTTCTAGAACTAATCTCGAATTTCTTTTGAATAAGATACTTCTCCCACGATTGGCCTTCAAATAGTGCAATATATGGTAGATAGCCTGTAGGTGCACTTCTTTAGGATGATGCATAGATTGACTTACTACACTCACAGCATATGCTATATCAGGTTTAGTATGTGAGAGATAAATGAGTCTTTCAACTAATCTTTGGTACATCTCTCTATTTATAGCAGCATTTTCATTAGTTTCTCCAATTTTATGATTAGGATCTATAGGGGTATTTGCAGGTTTACATGCGAGTTTCCTAGTTTCCTTCAGAAGATTCATCACATATTTCTGTTGTGAGATGAAAATACCATGCCGTGAGTGAGCTACTTCAATTCCTAGAAAGTACTTCAATCTCTTTAGCTCTTTTATCTCAAATTCTCTAGTCAAACACTGTTTTAGAGATTTTTTTTTTTTTATCATCTCCAGTTACAATTATATCATCATCATACACTAATAGAACTATGACTCTCCCTGAATCAGAGTGCTTGATAAACAATGTGTGATCTCCATGACTCTGTTTATATCCCATTGCTAGCATCACTTTGGTAAATCTCCTGAACCAAGCCCTAGGAGACTGTTTAAGGCCATATAATGCCTTTTTTAGCCTGCATACTTTATTTGCTTCTAGATGACCTCCAAATCCCGGTGAAACCTTCATATATATTTCTTTTTCTAAATCACCATATAGAAAAGCATTCTTTACATCAAATTGTTGAAGCTGCCAATTGTAATTTGTAGCCAATGATAACAAAATCCTAACTGTATTCATCTTGGCAACTGGAGCGAAGGTTTCCTGATAATTCACTCCATAGGTTTGAGTGTAGCCCTTAACCACTAACTTGGCTTTATACCTTTCAACAGTACCATCTGCTTTGTATTTTACAGTAAAAACCCATTTACACCCCACTGGATTTTTTTCTTTAGGCAACTCTACTAGTTCCCATGTCTGATTTTTCTTTAAGTTCTCAATTTCTATTTTCATGGCTTGCCTCCATTTCTCACTAGATAATGCCTCGGATAATGTAGTTGGAATAGAAATAGTGTTTAGGCTCACAAGAAAATTTTTGTGGGATGGTGAGAATTTTTCAAATGACACAAAATTAGAGATTGGGTATAGTGGATGCTTAGTACATTCTCTGGTTCCTTTCCTAATAGCAATAGCAGATCATAATCACTAGTTATAGTTTTAGGAGATTCATGCTCATTTTGAGAAACAGAGTCAAAAATTGTAGTTACCTCATTTCCAAAGTTAAGATCAGGTTCTTGGACTGGCACTGGTTCAGGATCTGGAACTTTCCTTCTTTAGTACACTTGTAATTCCTTCATAGAATCAAAAATAATATTATCCTTTGTCACATCTTTTGTATTTGGAATGGGTTCAGACTCAAATTCAGTGTTTGACTTGGGCTCAGCAGAAACAGGTTTCGACTCAGAAGAATTAATGGGTGTAAATGTTGAAAAAGGGGACAAATCAAGCAAAAAAAAACTTTATCCTTATCTTCCATGAATGAAGTCTCCCCCTGAAGATAAGGTTGAGTAAAAAATGGTTTACTTTCTTTAAAAGTGACATTTGCAGACACGTAAAATTTTTGGGTAAGAGGATGATAGCACTTATATCTTTTTTGAGTTGAAAAATACCCCACAAAAATACACTTAATTGCTCTTGGATCCAACTTTCCCCTGTTATGACTGTGAACATGAACAAACGATGTACAACCAAATATCCTAGGTGTGAGATTGTTTGTGGTATTGAGGTTGGGATAAAATTGTGAGAGTAGTTCCATAAGAGTTTTAAATCCCAAAACCCTTGAAGGTAACCTATTTATAATATGTGTGGCAATGAGAACAACTTTCCCCCAGTAAAATTTAAGTACATTTGCTTGAAAAAGAAAGGCTCAGGTTGTGGCTAGTAAATTGTTGTTTTTCCTCTCTACCACTCCATTCTGCTGTGGAGTATTAACACAAGATGATTCATGGATAATCTTTTCTTTTTGGAAATAGGTAGATAGACTCTGGTTGAAGTAGTCTATTGCATTGTCAGACCTAAATCTCTTGATTCTCATTCCAAATTGATTTTGGATAATGTTTTGGAAGCTTAAAAACACACTATTCACATTTGATTTGGATTTAAGTAAAAAAACCCAAGAGACCTTGGTACAATCATCTATGAATGAAACAAACCATCTCACACCAAAAATATTAGGAATTGTAGAGGGACCCCAAATGTCACTATGAATCAAGTAAAATGGAGTAGAACTTTTTTTGTTACTGATTGGAAAAGACACACGTCTATGCTTTGTAAGTTCGCAAACATCACAATGAAAATCTTCGACATTTAATCCTTTGAACAAAGAAGGAAACATGTTTCTCAAGGTCCCAAAAGAAGGATGTCTAAGACGAAAATGATAAAGCCAGATTTTGTCTTTATTGGAAGATTTTTCAGAAAGAAATGATAAAGGTAAACTATTCTTGATACTACTTGTGTTATTTGATGTCTCAAGATAGTATAGTCCATCCTTCTCTTTAGCAAGTCCAATCATCTTCCCCGAACTCTGCTCATGAAATTCACAATAAGAGGGATAAAAAGTTACTTTGCAATTTATATCCCTGGTATGTTTTTGTATAGATATCAGATTAGTAGACAATCTAAGAACATGAAGAACATTTTTTAGAACAAACGAGGGATTAACTTGAACATCTCCTAATCTTGCCATTGTGGTAAGTGAACAATCTACAACAATAATTTTCTTATTACTAGGACACAAGTTATATGTACTAAACTTTTGTGAGGAATGTGTCATGTGGTCTGTGGCTATTGAGTCAATGACCTAAGAACTCGTAATAGGCTTAGCCAAGACATTTAATCCATAAGAACCGGAAGCTTTATCTAAACAAAAAACCTTACCCAAAGAACATACCACAGTAGGCTTTTCAAGGATTTTCAATAAGTTTCTCAGCTTTTCGATTTTTTTTCTGTCGAACTCTCCTTGTTTCTGAGACATCTGTAGTACTTCAACGATTTTCTCAGTTAACATTTCCTCAAATTGGGTGATAGTGATATCTTTCTTTGAAATGGTTCGGCAATGAAGGCCTAAATAGGATTCAGCGATGAAGGCCTAAAAAAGTCAACAATGAAGGCTGAAAATTTTGCTTCCCAAGAAGAGCCTAAAGCTCTGATACCATGTGGAAAAACTAAGAAATAAATCAGTGTGAAAAACTGCTCATTAAGAATTATACAAGAACTTTAGGTTTATATACAACTAACTAGGGGTTAAACTAGGAAACTAAATCTTCCTAAAAAAACTAATCCTATAATTGAGAAATTGTCTATCCTAATTTTTTTGTCCTTAATTTTAGGGATACAAATATAAATATACAGATTACAAGATTACAACTAGCTGTAAATAAGTGTTTTCCCACAGTGACACTATTAGATTGGTGGATTGAGATAGCCAAGCCTAAATAACCATGAATCTAGCTCAAACCTTTACCTCAAGCTCCTCTTATAGCCTTTTGTTTCTTTACCCTTTCCGGTATTTAGAAAATCTTCAACTTCTGAATTAGATTTCTTTTATGAGATTAACTATGTTCCAGAAGAGAAGGAAATCTAAGAAACAAAACTTCCCTTTCTAAATCCCCATAATGCCTTTTCTAAACATCCAAATTCTCTTGTTAAGACCATAAAGACTCTTCTCAAAACACAAACCTCAAACACTAAAAGAGTATGTCCAAGCCTTAAAGTTTGACTAGTGTATACTTCTAGTAAGAATGCAAGAGCATTTTGTTACTCTTCAGAGCCTTCCAGAGTTTCCTTAGTAGTGGATAGCTCAAGGGTTGCATCATGAACTTAATAGGCAAAATGGCAGGTGGCATTAGTGTTTCTTTTCTGTGGTCAAACTTGATGGTGACATTTCCATCTGGGTTTGTGTTGTAAGTGGGGTCTAAGTTTTAGACAGGTTCATTTTGTCTCCAAAGTTTTTCATATCCTGTTACCCATGACTCAGGGATTTGTTTTGGAATGTGGATGCGTTTGAGAACTTTTTATGTTGCTTCAAGCTTGAAAAAAATAGTTTCACTAGAGCTGGGCATTAGTAAGTTTATGACATGATTTTGGATTTTGTACGCCATCTGATAATGGAGTGTTGCTTTGTATCCTTTCATCTGTGTACCAATAACCTGGACTTGAACTTTTAGAGCATCAAGAAGTGTAGGATAATGAAGAGAAATGTTGTAATTTGGGAAGACTGTAAAGAAAACAGTTCCTGCATGAGAGTTGTCTCAACGATTCCAAGTACAACATGCTTGTATTCTTTGAATCTTGTATCTATCAAGGCCATTCTACTACGTATAGTATATCATCATGTACATGAAAACTTAAGGCAATTTTAATGTCATCAAAGTGGATGGGAGTGTATCCTTGAGCTATCCATTGCTGAGGGAACTCTGGAGGGATCTAAAGAGTAAAAAGGTGTTCTTGGATTCTTATTGGAAGTATACACTGGTCAAACTTTGACGCTTGAACATACTCTTTTGGCGTTTAAGGTATGGATGTTTAGAATAGGAATTATAGGGATTTACAAGGAGAAATTCTGTTTTTGGAATTTTCTTATAGGGATGTTTTTGGAATTATAGGGATGTTTTTGGACTTTAAGTACAGATGAACCTTCTTATCCATAAGCAAGTCTAAATTCAATTCAATTTGGATATTTTAAATTTTTTTTTATTTTTTATACGAAAACTAAATTGAATCAAATTGAAAAAATAATATTTAAATTTAAATCACGAATTCATACAAATATTACGGTTTTTGAACTGGTTTTCATATTATGATTTTGATTTCAAATCAATTTTTAATTTTTTTGAATATTTTTTTTCATTAAGCTACTGATTACCACTTAAAAGAGCAGCTTAAAATTCTTTATATTCCACGTTCTTGAGTAGTAGGATAGCCATGATGTAAAACTTACAATCAGGAAAATTTAATAACCTCAATACTCAAAAAATAAAATACAGATTTAACAACATATGGTAAAACTGTTAAGAGTTCAAATCCACTCAAGGCAAAACCTAAAGACAAACAAAATGCAAGATAGCCTTAATAATGACTATGAGTATGGGAATTATATTTAAAAGAACCATCAGATCCAAGGATTGAATTCTGGCTGGAAAAAAGGTTTGGATAAGAGAAGTATTCATCATCCATTGAAGTCAATCTTTGCGGCTCGTGTTGAAGGTGGTCTTGCTCAAGAGCATGGTCACTCGAAACCGGTGAATCAAAACCCACTTTTAGTATGTTGACTGAAGGAAGATCTGCTACCTCTGATCCTTGGTGCTCCTGTTCCTGATGTACCTGATGGGAGTCCGGAGAGTATAAAACATCATCAAGATCACTAGAAGAGCTTTGATGATCAAAATTTGGCTTTTCTGTACTAGCGGGTTGATGAGGAATATCTGTATGAAATGGGTTCTCGGAGCTGCTATTCACAGTGACCTGGTCATTCTTTTTCTGCGTAAGTTCAGCAATTCTGACCTGTGCAAGACTAGCTGCCGAGCGAGCTGCAGCTGCTGCTCGCTCAGCAGTTTCAGCAGCTGCCTGAGCTGCAGCTAAAACATCCTGTAGGTCTACGTTGGCCTCACTTTTTGTTCGCCAAATAGCAGGTGGTGAATCACTTGGTCTTGCAGAAATTGATGCAGAAGATACTGATGGAGGAGAAATGAATGGGAGAAACTGTTTATTTTCTTTGGCTCCAGCCGGATCATTTGGTGTTTCATTTTCTTTAGTGACTAAATCTTCTTGCATCAATGTATTGGGTTCCAAAGGTGACATTGGCAACACATATCCAGAAGCTCCAGAATGTCTAGATGATCCACGCTCAGTTTCAGGGTCTGGAGTAGCTGGTGAAGGTGGACTAATTACTGGTGCTGACGCAGCATTTGCACTTGACCACAATGACACCTTAGGAACTTCAGGAAAATCTAAAGGGTCAAAGTCTGTATCAGAATCAGGCTGCTCATTTTGGATATGACCACCGGCAGAATTCAATGTTTCATCATGTTTTTCAGCAGGAAGGGGCAACTTAGACCCACTGACAAACTGTGTTGGGCCATTCTGACAAAAAAAAGGCACATTCAATGAAACAGGAACAGAGAACAGGAGTAAACACAGTCTAAAATTTACTTACTAATAAATCTTCATGCGGTTTGAAAAACTCAGTCTCAGTGGAAGCTGGATCCCATTCCAACTCGGGCTCTTCAGCAATTTCTTTAAGAAGCTTCAATTTTGTTTCAGGTGAAGGAGCACGTACAGATAACAATTCTATCAACTGCATTTAGAATTTATAAGAAGGATGCCAAATGGAAACACGTACAAAATGACAATACACACTCAACCTTCAAAACTTATAATACCTGACGATTAACACCACAATCTGGCCTCAGCTCAGTTGCAGCTGATACAAATTCCTTCCCATACTTGGAAACAAATAGCATTTGAACCTGCAGCAACTCCTGTAGATCGGCACATCTTGGTGCAGCGAAACAAACACTAGATATTGCTTCTTTCAAATCTAGAGGACATTCCCTGAAAAAGGATGATATTTCAAATTTTCATACTAAAAAATGCACTGTGTTTTTAGAGCTCTTCTTTTTTTTTTTTTTAAGCAACTTGAAAATTTCTGTAACTTATCAACTTGTGTAAAAAACACAGCATTTTGCAAACAATGTCATTCATGAAGGCAACAAACTTAGTCATAGCAACAAGTGTGGACATATCAGCTGCATTGCATTGACTACTGTGAAAGTGCTTCTACTGAAGCACCGTGTGTAGCTTCTATATTTTTAAAGTTAAATGTGCTAATAATAACCTAGGCACAGCTTGATCTACCTCCAAAATACACGAGCTCAAGCAGCAGTGCCAATGGTTAACAGATATAATTGCCAAAGACAGCCCAAGGTTTTACTATTGGCATGGTGATGCATAGGACAAACATTCAATAAAACCATAAAAGATGATAATTTGGTGGTCATGATATAAGCAGTTCACCTACTAACCCACCCTCACCCCCCCATTTTCACTCCTTTCCCTACTTTTCTTTGTCATGTCCCACAAAGGAAGTTGAGGTGGTTGTTACTTGTCAGGATGTTGGTTAATTGAAATATCAGAATAGCCAAGGCATTTAAAATCAGAACATTGGGCATCAGTGGCTCATCAAAGTTTATACTCATTTATTGAACCAGAATAAGTTGAAACGCAGATGTGGTAACAATTCAACTTTTTCAAGGCAATCTGATACTATCAAAATTAAATTTTTGACTGATATTTTTGCTCTAGTCACAGAGCCCCGGACTTAAGTTACTCTTCTATTGATGCAATCATGACACTGAACAATTTGGTCAAACTATTTTTTCACTCAACTTCCAAAACCCTTTACAAATATTTGGCCTCATCCTTAATCTAAATCTGATATAAAGTTGATATTCCATAAAGAAAAAGAAAATAATACAGAAAGTTGAAGCAATAACCTTTGAGTTTCGATGATTGGAAGACGAACGGCAATGAGCTCACAAAACAGCTCAAGGATCTCCTGAGCAGCCATCACGTTCTCTTCCCTTATTATATGCTCCACCTGAAATGTAAAGCCAGTATTGCCTCTTAAAAACTATGAAATATCTTATAAAAACAGCAAAATAAAATGATAAAAAGCCTATATGGACTCAACAAAATAATAAAAACAGCATACTTAGATCATCAAAATTCAAAAACATATATGCAAATAACTAAATGATAAAAACAAATAAAGAATCGAGCTTAAAAAAAAAGTTAAAGGTCTACCCGAATTCGAGCAGTAGCTTCTTGGCCAGTCTCAAGAAGCTTGGCAATGTCGCGGCGCATCTGCTTTATCTGAATCTCTCTCCTATTCCTCAACAACTTTATACGCGGAATTGTTAACTTTAGTAAAGTTTTGCTGCATATTTCCCAATCCCCCAAAAAAATTATCAAACGTAATATCGAAATTAAGCTAAATCTTAAAAATTGATCAAACTATCATAGAAATGATTCATCAAAGAAGGTTACACAACAAAGAAAATTAAACGTAAATATGAATATATTAGGAAAGGGAAATGAAGATCTACCATTTAGCAGCTTTAAAGCCTTTGTTGAAAAAGGAATCGAGCATAGACATGGTGGAAAGATGAGATCACAACAAGAATCCAGATCTAAAAAATAGGAAAAAGAAACAAGTATAGCTCAAAGGGTCGGAATTTATAAATAAGATTGGATCAGATGACGAAGGGGAATAATGCCTGCCAAGAAATTGCCTTTTTTTTTGGTTTTGAGTTTGATTTTCGTTCTGATTTTGGTTTTGATTACAAGATACACGCGTCGCATCATCTCGTTGTTGCAAATGCAGCTTTCTTATCGACGAAGGCATTTTGTATTTCTTAAAATAAATATATCTTGACTAGAGTTGCTCTCAATTTGGTTCAGGGTGTAATCCGAATACTATTGATATAGTAAAAAAATTTGATTGCGATTTAAAATCTGTTGTTCAAAATTTAATTTAAGTTTAATTAAATTTTAAATTTTAATTTTAAATTAAATTATTTGTATTAAATTTAAGTTTAAATAAAATATTATAATATTTAAATTTAATTTAATAAATTAAATTATTCGAATTCAAATTTTTTTCGATAATAATCAAATCGAATTTAAATTTTATATGAAATGAATCAAAATAATTTATAAATGTAGACACCCAATTGGGTTCAGGCCCAGATCAATTGGGCCTAGCCCAAATGGGTAAGACCCAATTCAATTTTTATCTTGTATTTTTTTTCTGTTTCTTTTGTATTTTATGTATTTTATTATTTATTATTATTATTATGTATTAATATATATATATTTATTTTTTTTATCATTAGATTAGATTTATATGTATATAGTTATATATTTATTATTATTATATTATTATTTTTTTTTGTTTTTGTTTTGTAATATATTTTTGGGTTTATCTTATTTTATTTGTTATTATTTTTTTTAATTATCTGTTCTGATTTTTTCTCGATTTTCAGATATTATTTTTTAATTTTTTTATACTATAATATCTTTTGATTTATCTTTTCTAATTATCTAGTATTTTTTTATTTTGATTTTAATTTTGGATGGCTGGGATTAAAAGATGAAGAATTCGACTGTGGAGGGGAACTCAATCAGAAGAGTCCAATTGGATTCAAAGATTGAATCCCCGTCCAAGGAGGAATTGGGATTGATCAAGAACTCCTGATCAACCCTTATAAAAGGCACCCCCTGGAATAGATTGCAGAACAGGGAAAACAGTAAGCAAAGCTACTGATTTGAGAGAAAATGAGGGTATAGGAAGCTAAGAAAAGTTTAGGAGTGTTTTGGGAGTGAGAAAAAATTTTTAGAAATTTTTGGCGAAAAAATTTTCTGGAAATTTCTGAGAAATTTCCAGATTTCAACGAATTTTTCGGCAAGGGTTGAATTTTTCGGCAAAAATTCCGGCCAATTTGAAGTTTTCGACGACCTGCCCAGTTTTCGGTGAAGAATCCCAGAAACCGGTGATCTTTCGGCAACTTCCGACGAACTTTCGGTGAAATTTTTCAGATTTCGGTGACAATTTCCAAAATCCGGCGAAATCTCCACCGAAGTTCTTCAGCCCTTAGAGAGAAGGGGGGAGAAAAAAAAAGATAGAGGAGGAATCTGAATAAGAGGAGGAGTCCGAATAGGAGAGAAAAAAAAAGGGGGGGAAAGCCCCCATCTCCACCAGTCCTCAAGGCCTCTCTTTGGTGGGTGATCTCCCCTTCCATGAAGTGCTTAAAGACCAAGACATCGCATTTGTCAATCGTGACGTGCCTGTGACTGCCCTCTGAGCAAACGGCAGATGTGACATAGCTTGGAACCTCGGGTTGAGCTGTTGAAATGGAGAAGCTAGCTAGACAGCCCGTGTGTGACCATGTAAAGGCGAAATCATTGAAGCAGGATCTTAAGAGGGAAAAGGAATTCTGGAGATGTCAGTCTCGGGTTCAGCGGCTTCAAGCTGGTGATAAAAAGACAAGTTCTTTCCCATGCTTTGTGTGTTCAGAGGCGAAGGCATAATCAAGTCAGGGATTGGTTTTTATGACAGTGGTATGTGGAAAGAGGATCATGAGGGTATTCGGGGTGTCATACATGACTCTTTTTCCACCATTTTCACTTCCTGCAGTCCATAAAATATTACAGAAGCAGTGAGTGGTATATCTCGGGTATTACACCCACAATGAATGATGATCCCGTCCAGGATCATGGTCTATCGCAAAATCAAAATCCTGGGGGCATCCCGTTAGATCGAGGTGCTGGAGGCACCCTCTCGAGCCAAAACAAAGTTACCCAACGAAAGAGATCACGAATGCTTGCTGGTCAAACATTAGAGGCTAACCCCTATGGTCCTGAGTGCAGGATGTTAAGAAAGCAAGGCTGTACAGCAAGGCTGGATCGCCTGTCAATGGCCAGCCTTGGCACCAAGTTCGGGTACGTCATCTCAGAAATAACGGAGACTTTGGGGTCTGCCCAATATTTTCGATTTTCTCCCAGCCCTGGCAACCAAGCCGATGAGAAAAGAGAGCAGATGGTGCACTTGATAGAAGCCTCGGCAGAAGCTATTTTCTGGGACAGCATCGCATTCTTCAGAGCAACTCCAGCAGATGGCTTTCCATTCTGACAATAGTTCTCAAGGTCAAGTTTCCACAGTGCCCTTTGGTCATACACTGTCAGCGCCGGTGACAAACCATAGCGAATGTTGAGCTTTTGGAGATCAAAAATAATAAAAATGAAGAGCAATAAGGGGCCACTGACGTACTCAGAACCTAGAATGATCGTACAGTGTAAAGAAACCAAAACAGTGAAGAAAGTTCACAGATTCCTTTTTGGATCTACGTTGTTGGAGGATGGTTGGTGAGAAACCGACCATAAATAGGAGATGAGTAGGTCGAAGGGAGGTTCATGGTGAATTTTCAGCATCAACGGTGGGCGACTGTAGCGGCATACAGAGGCAACAGTGTTGGAGCTTCATTGATTTCTGGAAGAACCGATTGGTGTATATTTGTGGAATGAAGGTTGTTGATGGGAATTTTACAGACCAGAAACGACAGCCTACTCAGTAGCAGCAGAATTTTCATGCGACTGGAGCTGCACCAAACACGGGATTGCCTCAATTTGAGCAGTCATATGCTCAAGGCACAGGTCCTGCCTGGAATGGTCAATTGGTTCTACAACAGCTGCCTTCTTCACCTGTCTATGGTGCTCAGAGAAGTGGCTTGCTACCACCACCACTCTGGGAAGTACAGGCGCCAGACTCTAGCCCAGTTGCGAGTGCTTAATATCCTCAATCAATGGTTACTCAAGTTAGTGTAACACATGGCCAACCTCAAGGACCTCAACATATGAAAAGTGATCAGATGGTGGGTATGTACATTCAGCCAATCACAACCAGTCATTTGTCAGCAATTAATAACAAGGCTGTTCAGGGAAACCGGTTTGCTGGTTTTCATCCTCAATCAGTTCTGGGAGCACAGTATATGGACATACTTTCACAGCAAATGGCTTCTATGTATCCACAACAAATGTATGGCAATCAAATGGAAGTATATGGGTATGTTCAGCAACACTTCAAGCCATCATTTCCTTCGTGAAAAATAGGGGAGATCGTGTCAAATTGGTGAAGGCTATGGATAATCTAGTGGAACCACGTCGAATTCCTCAAGGCAAGATAATCTTTTTTTGGTATTTTATTTATTTACTTTTTTTGATGTGTTAGTTATTTTGAGGAGTATTATTTTTATTTTTATTTTTTGCAAAAAAATAAAAATTTTCAAAGAGAAATATTTTTGAGAAAAAGTTGAAAGTATCAATTTTCCTTAAAAATAAAATTTCAAAAAAAGATTTTTGAGGAAAAGTTGAAAGTATCAATTTTCCTTAAAAATCAAAATTTTCAAAAAATATTTTTAGGAAAAAGTTGAAAGTATCAATTTTTCTTAAAAATATAATTTCAAAAAAGGTTTTTTCGAGGAAAAATTGAAAGTATCAATTTTCCTTAAAAATAAATTTTCAAAAAAAAAAAAGATTTTTGAGGAAAAGTTGAAAGTATCAATTTTCCTTGAGAATCAAAATTTTCAAAAAATATTTTTAGGGAAAAGTTGAAAGTATCAATTTTCCTTAGAAATAAATTTTCAAAAATATTTTTAGAGGAAAAGTTGAAAGTATCAATTTTCCTTAAATCAATTTTCAAAAAAAAATATTTTTGAGAAAAAGTTGAAAGTATCAATTTTTCTTAAAAATAAATTTTCAAAAAAATATTTTTGAGGAAAAGTTGAAAGTATCAATTTTCCTTAAAAATAAATTTTCAAAAAATATTTTCGGGGAAAAGTTGAAAGTATCAATTTTCCCTACACAAGAGCAATCATTCTTTCCTTCCTTTCTATTTTGATTTTGATTTTTCTTTAACTAATCCGACGATGGAGCCTCTGCAAGTGAAACAGTAGTTTTTCTTGCATACTCTTGAGGTGGGGGAATTTTCTCAATTTTTTGCTAAAAGTATTAGAGTCAATTGAGAAAAATTTTCAATAATTAATTACTTGGTAAAATTTTAAGGCTTTTGGATAACACAAATTTAAGCTCGTACCATCTTTTGATGGGCGTTGTGAGGGTGCTATAACCTTCCTCACACGTAATCGAACTCCCGAACCCTGTTCTGGTTAGTAGAGCTGAACCTATTCTTTTAGGGGTCCTTAAACTAAGACGTTCCCTAAAAAGACAGATTCTTTAGGTGGCCAATCGCACCTAGATAAAAAAGATTGGTGGCGACTCCCTAAAGTCAATGTCTAGCGATAGATCCCTGGATCTAGACGTTATGACAATAAATATTGATGTATTATTTATACTTTTAATTTTATTAAATTAAGTTAATCAAATAATTGATTTAATTTTTTATTATTGAATTAGTTTAGTGAAAATAATTTTAAAAAATTTCATTTTTATTAATTGAATTTGATAATAGAATTAATCAAAAATTTAATAAAAAATAATAAATTTTAAAATAAATAAAATTGATTGTTTTATTTTATAAATTATTAGAATTTTTAATTTAATATTTTAATATTTGATTAGTAGATGATTTTATTTAATTTATTTTAAATATAAAAATTATAAATTTAAAATATAACTTAACTAAATATTTTATTATTAGATTAATTCAAAAATGAAAATTAATAAAATTTTTAAAATTATAAATTTAATTTGATTAATAAAAATAGCATAATATAATATAATTAATTCAATTTTATATAGTAATTCCATTCAGAATTAACTTCTTTTGTTATAAAATATGAAGTATACATGCATACGATACAAATATTTTATTTATTAT